TCCGGAATAACCGGAACTGAACTGACACGAACTGATCGGACATGAATTTACTGAACTGAAATAATCCTGAAAATTTAACTGAAAATACCATATAAATCATAAACCGGGCTGAACACTTAACATACGAACTGAATCTATTTAAAATAGGGTTGAACCGGTCTGGACCGGACTGCGGTTCGATCGAACCGGCAGTCGGCTTGGCTCGGCCAGCAGCCTGCCGAGGCTGCGCACGCTGGCACTGCACGGCCTGGCCGCGGCGCTGGGACTGATGGGTTGACTGCCAGCGGCACTGTGCACAACCGCTGGGCATGACGGGCCGCGAACGTGCGCTGGACGACGCGGGCGTTGTTCTGGGCACTGCCCCGCGCTATGTGCGCGGGCGCAGGCACTACTCACGCTGCTGGGCGCTACCGCGCGCCGCAGCAGGGGCTGGGATGGGTATGCGTACGCGGGCGTGCACAACAGTTGGCTGGCGTGCCGCTGGGCGTCGCCTGCAACTCCTGCCGCGTACTGGCAGCACGCAACGCAGCACGGCTTGCGCGCACGTTGCCAGTCGCACTGACTGATGGCCGATGCGCTGCTGCCGCGATATGCGGGCAGCGCACACACGACCAACACCTGTCGGCCGTCCGGCGTTTCCTTACGACATCTTCAGCATAAAACAACATCACATGACTTAACATGACCAATATACTGAATTTACATGAAAAATTACTGAACTTGTTCAATGGACCAACACACACGGCCGTGGTGCGCTCGCTATATGCGAGGCTTACGGCTTATGGCCAATTCTCTTGACTAAACATGATATTTCTTCAACCAACCTTACTTGACTGACCATAACATTATCTAACATAATCAAATAAACCTGAAGTGTTCGACCAAACTCGATCATAACAAGAGATAAACCTACAAGGCGCTTAATGGCCCGCAGTTGTGCGCTAGGTGCGCAGTCCACCTCTTTAGGCCATTTCATGAACAAAAGGCTAACTTTCCTCGACCTATCTTCCTTAACTGAATACCATACATGAAATAAGAGCTAAAAGGGCCGGAAATACTCATGACTTGCTGAACCAAAATGGACTTAGCCCGGTATAGAACTAACGTGCCTTAACCGAGTTCAACATGAACATTCTAATGAATTTCTGAAAATTGCTCGAACAATTAACCTTAATACGACCTTCCTAACATGAATATAAGCTGAGGAGGATATACCTCTGCGATTACTCGATTGAATCACCCCAATTGATCGCAATCTCCTTGGCTCCGGTTGTGCGTGACTTGCCGTGCGGTATTTCGTCAATTGTCGTGCTTTGAATATGGAAGTTTTATGATAATTATGCTAAGTTATTTGCTGCTGAGTCTTAAGAGTATGAGGTGGTGTATATAAGATGGGAAAAGATAGGAAATTTTTTTGTCCAACACCCCTATAAATAAACCCGAACGGAGGCCATGAGTTGGGGGTATGATGAGGGCTTGACGTGGCCTCCTAAGGCCTTGACATTTGCTACATCTTAAGATGAATTAAAGATGACTAATCCTCCCCCTTAAGTTGACACGCAAGATAGATAAATGTGTGGAAGGAAATTGATTTCTTAAGACTTAGGAAAATGGTTTCAACTTGGAACATGTACGGCTACTTAATTTATTTGGAAGTATTGGACGACTTTGATGCCTTAATTTAAGGATTAATTATTAATTAATCCTTTTCTGATGTTTAATTATTTAATTAAACATAATGCTTAATTACCAAAATTATTCCGAACTTAAACGGTACGTCGAAAATAAATTTCGGTAATCTCGACTGAAAATAATCAATTCCGAAAATAATAATCGATAATGTTATTATATCGGAACTAAAACATAATTTATACTAATAAAATGTCGGGATATTACAATCCTCCCTCCTTACAATATTTCCGTCCTCGGAAATTCAAAACATAATTGACATACATGAACTATGTACATAGGATAATGGAATATGATCAAAACTGAAAATCTGGAAAACGAGCACGAATATCGGACTCTTCCTCCCAAGTAGCTCCGTGGCGATTTCACTAAATACGCACGAGGGGAATATCTCGCTTCCGGAGTCGACGAACTTGACGGTCTAGTACAGCTACCGGTCGCTCCTCGTACGATAGATCTGGCTGAACCTGAATATCCGTGAGAGGAATGACATGATCGGGGTCGCACACGTACTTACGCAACATAGATGCGTGGAATACATTATGAATGCCTGATAACTCGGGAGGTAGGGCTAACCGATACGCGACCTCGCCTACTCGTTTGAGAACCTCGAACGGACCGATGAAACGAGGGTGCAGCTTCCCTCTCTTTCTGAATCGTACAACTCCACGAATCGTACGAACTCTGAGAAAGGCTGGCTCGCCAACCTCGAACTGAATGTCTCGTCGATGATGATTGGCGGAAGATTTTTGTCGACTCTGAGCTGTCCTGAGTCTCTGCCGGATCAACTCGACCTGCTCCGCTGTCTCCTCGATCATCTTAGGACCGAGTACTCGCTGCTCTCCAACGTCGTCCCAGTAGAGAGGGGACCGACACTTGCGACCATAAAGTGCCTCGTAAGGAGCCATCTAAATGGAAGAATGATAGCTGTTGTTATACGCGAACTCGGCGTACGACAACAACGATTCCCACTTGGCACCCCTGTCAACAACCAAAGCGCAAAGCATATCCTCAAGCGTCTGAATAGTCCGCTCTGACTGACCATCTGTCTCCGGATGGTAGGTTGACCTGAACTCTAGCTTCGTGCCCATCGCCTCATGTAAACTGTGCCAGAATCGACTGACGAATCTGGGATCTCTGTCTGATACAATCGTAACGGGCACTCCGTGGAGTCGAATGATCCCACGGGTATATATCTCAGCCAACTTGTCCAGAGACATCTTCATCGGAACGGGTAGGAAATGAGCAACCTTAGTCAATCTGTCGACCACGACCCAGATAGCGTCGTGATGTTCAGACGACCTTGGTAATCCCGTAACGAAATCCATCGTGACTTCCTCCCACTTCCACCTCGGAATCGGCAATGGCTGCAGGAGACCGATCGGACTCTGATGTTCGGCTTTGACTTGCTGACAGGTAAGACACCTCCTGACGAACTCGGCGACGTCCTTCTTCATGCCTCGCCACCAGAACGACCCTTTCAGGTCGTGATACATCTTCATGCTCCCGAGATGGGCCAGATAGGGTGCGGTATGTGCCTCTGATAAAATCTCTTACCGCAACGCCTCGACCTTCGGGACCACGATCCTGCCTCTGAACTCTAGGCCACCATCGGCACCTACCTGAAAACCCTCGACGCCTCCGGCGCGAACCTTGGCCTCCATGACACGAATGAACTCGTCAAGAGCCTGCTCTCGCCGGATTCTCTCTCTCAGCGTCAGCTGAAGCTGCATAGCACTGACGCTGGCACTAGTACTCCCCGAAACGGCTAGGGGAAGTGCATCGATCGCCTGAAGTTGTATCCGGGAAAACTCCTGAATCAACGGACTCTGCTGAGTAATGACGTATGTCAAGTCACCCTTCACCTTTCGGCTTAGGGCGTCAGCCACGACGTTCGCCTTTCCCGGATGATACTGAATAGAGCAGTCGTAATCCTTGACAAGTTCGAGCCAACGGCGCTGTCTCATATTAAGCTCCTTCTGCGTGAAGATGTACTGCAGGCTCTTATGATCCGTGAAAATCTCACAACGTCCGCCATAAAGATAATGTCGCCAGATCTTGAGAGCATGTACGACTGCTGCTAACTCCAAGTCGTGCGTCGGATAGTTCTGCTCATGCGGCTTAAGCTGACGTGAAGCATACGCAACGACCTGTCCGTCCTGCATAAGGACACATCCCAAGCCCTGTCTCGAAGCATCGCTAAAGATAGTGAAACTCCGAGAAGGATCGGGAATAGTCAACACCGGTGCTGAAGTTAACCTCCCCTTGAGCTCCTGAAAGCTCGCTTCACAACGATCAGTCCACTCGAACTTCACAGACTTACTCGTCAGCTGGGAAAGAGGGAGGGCGATCTTGGAAAAGCCCTCGATAAACCTGCTATAATAACCAGCTAGACCGAGAAAACTGCGAACCTCGGACGGACTCCTCGGTGTCGACGAGTTCTGAACGGCTGAGACTTTAGAAGGATCCACCTCGATACCTGCCTGAGTAATCACATGACCCAGAAAGGATACTCGCGGGAGCCAGAACTCGCATTTGGAGAATTTTGCAAACAACTTTTCTCGTCTGAGGGTTTCGAGAACCACCCTCAGATGCTCCTCGTGCTCCTTCTGGCTCTTCGAGTAGATAAGGATATCTTCAATAAAGACAATAACAAACTGATCGAGGTAGGGATGGAAAATACGGTTCATGAGGTCCATGAAATCTGCTGGCGCATTGCTGAGACCGAAAGGCATGACGACGAACTCGTAATGGCCGTAACGAGTCCTGAAGGCGGTCTTAGCGATATCTGACTCCTTAATCTTCAGCTGGTGGTAGCCTGATCGCAAATCAATCTTTGAGAATACACAGGCTCCCCTCAACTGATCAAATAAGTCGTTGATCCTGGGAAGCGGGTACTTGTTCTTGATCGTCAACCGGTTAAGATCCCGGTAGTCGATACACATGCGCATGGATCCGTCCTTCTTCTTAACAAAGAGAACGGGTGCTCCCTATGGTGACACGCTCGGTCGGATAAAACTGAGTCGTAACAGCTCCTGAATCTGGGTCTTTAGCTCCTGCAACTCCTTAGGCGCCATACAATACGGGGCTTTGGATACTGGACCGGCCCCTGGAATAAGATCGATAGAGAACTCCACCTGCCGGTTAGGCGGTCCTCCTGGAAGCTCGTCTGGGAACACGTCCACAAACTCGCGAACGATTGGAACATCATGAGGTGAGCGTGCTTTCTAAGAATCGTCGACAAGGCTTACCAGATAACCCTGGCAGTTGCCTCGTCGCAATAACTTAGTGGCTTTCGCCATCGAAACAACATGAGGCAGTGAACGATTCCTGGAACCGAAGAAAGTGATCGATTTGTCTTCCGGAAGATAGAAAGTGATCTCCCGGTCATGACACCTGATGTCTGCATGATAGAAGGATAGCCAATCCATTCCGAGAATAAGGTCGAAGTCCCTCATCTCGAGAACAAACGCGTCGGCAGTCAATACTCGGCCACCGATGGAAAGGCTAAGATCTGAGGCTTTAGCTGAAGTCACTATCTTTCGTCCCGAGGCTAGACTCACCTCGAGAGGATCGACAGCGGTAACAGCATGAACTCCGATAGCATCGAGACATCGTCGTGAAATGAAAGTATGTGTCGCTCCAGTATCGAATAAAGCAAACACATGAATATCATTGAGAACAACCATCCCTGACATAGTACCTGGCTGCTGTACTGCCTCGGCCTGATCAACCGCGTAGACCCGGGCCTGCTGTCTGCCCCTCTGCTGCTGCTGCTGCTGAGGCGGCCTCTGTGCCTGCTGACGTGGCTGCTGCTGCTGTGGTGGCTGCTGAGGCTGCTGAGGCTGCTGCTGGAGTCTCTTCGGACAGCGACTCGCAAAATGTCCCGGCTCGTGGCAGTAATAACAGATGTCCTGTCCCACATGGCACTCTTCTCGATGAAGTCGACCACAAGTCGGGCACGGTGGAATCGGCTGCTGTCTCTGTCGGGTCCTCCGGTCAGTCTGTGCACCCTTCCCCTTCATCTTCTTCTCCTTTGTCAGCTGAGGGGCTAGTAGAGCTGGTGTGTTTTCGAATGGCTGAACTGGGGCTGATGGCTAGGCACGATCACGTACTGCCTCCCTCCTGATGCTAGCGTCTACCTCCTGGGCGATAGAAACTGCCCGAGCATAGGTCTGAGTCCCGTGTCCCACGATGTTGTGACGGACTGCTGGGAAAAGCCCGTCGATGAACCGCTGCGCTCTCTGAGCCTCCGTGCGAACCAGGTCCGGTACGAAAGCTGCAAGTCTAGTGAACTCTCGCTCGTACTCATCAACTGTACGAGTGCCCTGCTGGAGCGCTAAGAACTGACGCTCCATCTCTGCCCGATAGTAGGATGGGTAGTACTTTTTGCGGACTAGGTCCTTGAACATGTCCCATGTACAACCCGCCTTTTCACCGGGACGCATGCTCCAGTAGGCGTTCCACCAGAGCCTTGCATCACCAGTGAGCTGAAGCTGAGCGCAAACTACGCGATATCTATCGGGGCAGTCCATGACCTCAAAGATAAACTCCAAGCCCTGAATCCATTCATCAACAATGCGGGGATCTCCCTGCCCTGAGAACATTTCGGCGTGATAGTCGCGAAACTGAGCGACTACCGTAGCCTGAGTAGGAGCCTGATGATCGGGTTCCCTACGTGGCGGCATCTGAACATTGAAAAAGTTTAACATTACTGAATACGTGATAACATTCTGACTGATCATTAAGGCACACAAATCTCTTGACGAGTCGCCAAAAGTGGCCGATAATTACTGACGTGAATCCTGAAGAACTCTAGAGTCATATAGGAAGATCTTAATGTCTAGAGTCATATCTGAATGCCTCAATTCTAGAGTCATGTCCGAACTCTAAAGTCTGAACCTGATTCGAGCATCTTAACTAAAGTCCTGATCCTTAATTCTGAGCATAGACAAAGTAATATGTTTATAACTGAAAAACTGAACCAGCACTTACCTGACGTCGGCGGGGCGTGAGCATGACGGTTCAGGTTTTTCTGAAACATTACCGACTGAAAAACTTTTCAGAGACGCAGAAACCTGGCTCTGATACCAATTGTAACACCCTGCCTTATCGTTAAATCAGAGTGCGCAAAAGATTCGCAAAGTCATTTAAAAATAAAATCTTTTTCACTTTGCGAAAACTGATTAGGGGTGCTACCTTAAAATCGTGACTTATTTTGGAAAACAGTTATTTTAAGTTTTAATAAAATCATCCGGTTACTGAATACATAAGGTTTCCAAAAGATCATCACAAATTAAGTACGTCAAAAGTCATCAAAACATCATTAGCAGAAGCGTAATTCGTCATCATAAATATACTGTCAAAAACATAAATGTCCTGAAGCCTCCGTCAGCTCAGGCTCCCAGTCCGACGTCCTGACCTGAAAAACATGATAAAAGTGGGAAATGAGCACTATGGCACTGTGCTCCGTGGAAACTCATACTAATGTAAACATTGAAAATAATAACAACATCATGATATCAGTATATACATAACCTCAACCTCAAGCCGGTAATAACATGAACATGAATCTGAAATCGTCACGCAACGTGACCCTGACCGTTACCTCATCTGCCGGCAAGAACTAATGCCGGACACCATGTGCACACTCTAGTGGGCAGACTAGGGCCACTAGAACCCAGAATGGACCGGCGACCATTCCGAGCGGATACCTCAACTGAAATACATACCTCAAACATGGTACCGTAATTATAATCAATGTAGTACTTAGTCTGAATCCCCACCTGAACTGTTGAACTGAACGGTAGTGCTGATGCCTGATCAAACTGAAAATAATATAAACAATTACTAATGACTATGCTCAGACCGTTAACTTAACTGATTATTTTCGTTAAGATGCTCTACTTAACCTGACATGATATTTAGACTTAATCCGGAATAACCGGAACTGAACTGACACAAACTGATCGGACATGAATTTACTGAACTGAAATAATCCCGGAAATTTAACTGAAAATATCATATAAATCATAAACCGGGCTGAACACTTAACATACGAACCGAATCGATTTAAAATAGGGCTGAACCGGTCCAGCCGGTCTGAACCGGTCTGGACCGGACTGCGGTTCGACCGAACCAGCAGTCGGCTTGGCTCGGCCAGCAGCCTGCCGAGGCTGCGCACGCTGGCGCTGCCCGGCCTGGCCGCGGCGCTGGGACTGATGGGTTGACTGCCAGCGGCACTGTGCACAACCGCTGGGCATGACGGGCCGCGAACGTGCGCTGGACGACGCGGGCGTTGTTCTGGGCACTGCCCCGCGCTATGTGCGCGGGCGCAGGCACTACCCACGCTGCTGGGCGCTACCGCGCGCCGCAGCAGGGGCTGGGATGGGTATGCGTACGCGGGCGTGCACAACAGTTGACTGGCGTGCCACTGGGCATCACCTGCAACTCCTGCCGCGTACTGGCAGCACGCAACGCAGCACGGCTTGCGCGCACGTTGCCAGTCGCACTGACTGATGGCCGATGCGCTGCTGCCGCGATATGCGGGCAGCGCACACACGACCACACCTGTCGGCCGTCTGGCGTTTCCTTACGACATCTTCAGCATAAAACAACATCACATGACTTAACATGACTAATATACTAAATTTACATGAAAAATTACTGAACTTGTTCAATGGACCAACACACACGGCCGTGGTGCGCTCGCTATATGCGAAGCTTACGGCTTATGGCCAATTCTCTTGACTAAACATGATATTTCTTCGACCAACCTTACTTGACTGACCATAACATTATCTAACATAATCAAATAAACTTGAAGTGTTCGACCAAACTCGATCATAACAAGAGATAACCCTACAAGGCGCTTAATGGCCCGCGGTTGTGCGCTAGGTGCGCAGTCCACCTCTTTAGGCCATTTCATGAACAAAAGGCTAACTTTCCTCGACCTATCTTCCTCAACTGAATACCATACATGAAATAAGAGCTAAAAGGGCCGTAAATACTCATGACTTGCTGAACCAAAATGGACTTAGCCCGGTATAGAACTAACGTGCCTTAACCGAGTTCAACATGAACATTCTAATGAATTTCGGAAAATTGCTCGAACAATTAACCTTAATACGACCTTACTAACATGAATATAAGCTGAGGAGGATATACCTCTGTGATTACTCGATTGAATCACCCCAATTGATCGCAATCTCCTTGGCTCCAGTTGTGCGTTACTTGCCGTGCGGTATTCCGTCAATTGTCGTGCTTTGAATATGGAAGTTTTATGATAATTATGCTAAGTTATTTGCTGCTGAGTCTTAAGAGTATGAGGTGGTGTATATAAGATGGGAAAAGATAGGAAAAATTTTTGTCCAACACCCCTATAAATAAACCCGAACGGAGGCCATGAGTTGGGGGTATGATGAGGGCTTGACGTGGCCTCCTAAGGCCTTGACATTTGCTACATCTTAAGATGAATTAAAGATGACTAATCCTCCCCCTTAAGTTGACACGCAAGATAGATAAATGTGTGGAAGGAAATTGATTTCTTAAGACTTAGGAAAATGGTTTCAACTTGGAACATGTACGGCTACTTAATTTATTTGGAAGTATTGGACGGCTTTGATGCCTTAATTAAAGGATTAATTATTAATTAATCCTTTTCTTATGTTTAATTATTTAATTAAACATAATGCTTAATTACCAATATTATTCCGAACTTAAACGGTACGTCGAAAATAAATTTCGGTAATCTCGACTGAAAATAATCAATTCCGAAAATAATAATCGATAACGTTATTATATCGGAGCTAAAACATAATTTATACTAATAAAATGTCGGGATATTACAGAGAATCTCTCGCAGTATTTCTTTCTTTCTTGTACGTCAGCGATCCACAGTTGTGTTCGCACTAAATCGTACGATGTCATGTCAACCGACATTTATTAACTATCATAGTAGCAAATCACTCTTTCGAACGGATTTGTTAATCAAAGCAAGCATCTGGGCGTTCTGATCGTCCATCGATCTGTAATGTTGATGAGGACAACTAGCAATTGTGGTTCGACTTGCTGTGACCCGACTCTTGACGATGCGATAAGTTGCGCATGGTACATTGCATACAATTTACCCACTACCCGGGGACCACGGGCGCAGAAAACCTGCATGCTATACCTGCGTGCGATGTACCTGCGGCGTCAATGTCGCCTGCAGTCATAAACACAGTCGCATCCACGTCTTATTCTAGTGGCTTCACGGTACTGCGGCGCTCAGTTAACTCGGCGCACTACTACTGGATCTAACTTCTTCTTGATACAAATCGAGGGTCTCACTACTTATATAGGTAAAATTTTACCCAAGGGTACTTAAAATTTCAATGTTGTAGCTTTTCTGTTCTTTCTTCCTTCAACGTCTATTCTAAAACTAGTGATGTCGTACATCACTAGCACTTAGAGATGACTTCATCACCTCAACTTTCTCGTGCTTTCTGATCTTGAGGCTTCGGGCTCCTCAACTTCTCATAGAGGATGTCCATGCTTCAAGTTCAATCTAGGAACTT